GGATGGGACCCAAGTCTAACCATGAAATTCACTCATGTTTCATATACATCTTATATACATAGTCTCAAGGTAATTTCATATATTTTAATGTAACTGCATTTTGGACTGCAACCTTCCACACAAAGTCAGGTGTGAAATTTTCCACTCATAGCATCATGTCAGTGCTCAAAATGTTTAAGATTTTAAAGAATTTCAGATTTCAGATCTTCCAATTAAGGATGCTGAACCTGTAATAATAGTTACTTTTACTGGCTGCCTCCTATGTGCCAAGCACACAATAAAGTAGCACAAGAGTGAGCAGAAATAGGTATGGTTCCTGTTCTCACAGAGTTTGGAAGCAACTAAAGTTAAATACAAAGTCCCATACATAGGTGTATGATTATACCTGAGAGATGTGTTCTGATAGAAAGGAGCAGAGTGCAGTGTAATAATCTGGCTGCCAAGAAAAATTGTCAAGAGGCAGTAGTGTGTGATGAAGACCTGAAGGGTGAGGAGGAATAATAGGAGCAGGAGCATCATACTTATTGGCCTGGAGTGTAAAGAATGAAAGAGAAATAATACCTATCACCCATTGAATACTACATGACTGGCATGTGTTAAATATTATTTATATACAATTCTCGAGTTCTTTCAGCAACTTGATCACTTAAAAACTTATTACCTTCATTTCACAGCCAATAAACTAAGGCAAAGTTTCAGAAACATGCCCAAGAATTACTTAGTAAGAGGTAGAGCCAAGTCTATGAAACTCCAAGCCTGCGTATTTAACCCTGGACAATACTGCCCTGACAGAGGCCATTGGGCCCTATTAAAGCATGATGTATCAGAATGAAACAGGCTTCCACTCAGTTCACAAGCAAGAGGACAAATATTTTAAAATATTGTATTACCTAAAGAAATATGCATGGTGGAGACACTGTTATAAGGTACACGTTCTAACTCCAGAGCCTTAGACTGCTCGGCCACACTACCACATGACAAGGTATGTGTTCTAATAAGTGGACAACCATAGTATATGCAACACTCGCAGCCCTACTGACAGCCTAATCCTGAGCAGTCCTATTTTCTCTCACACCACACACATGCACCATCCAACCATAATTTAGTAATGCAGGAGTGCAAATTTGATCCACAGAAGAGAATTTACAGGCCATCAAGTAGCCTTTGAGCTAACCCACCTTGAAAAGCTCCACTTAAGCAGGCAGGTATAGGTTTAATAATAATTATATTCTCAAAAACATGAACTGTGAAAGAAGCTCAAAGGTTTGTAGTACAGAAACTAGAGTTATTCTAAATGCAGGGTTGGTTAAAATTAGAAAAATCTAGTAATACAATTAACCATGTTATAACAGTATTAGAGAATAAAGAATTTGATTATTATAATAGATGTTTTTTAAAAGGCACTTGGTAAAATTCAAACACCCAAGTACCTATACAGTTGATAAAACTGCATAGAACTCACAGAAAGAGACAGAGAGACAGAGAGAGAGAGAAAGAGGTAGATATGAGTGTGATCAGTGCTTGCATCAGGATCAATATCCTGGTTGTAATCTTATACATAATTTTTCAAAATGCTACCATTGGCAAAATCAGGTAATGTACACAGGGATATCTCTGCATTGTATCTTAAAACTGCATGTAAGTCCTCAATGATCCCAATTAAGCAGACAATTTTAAAAAGAGAGGGTAATGGATGGAGAAAAAAGGAGATGAATTTCACAGAAGCAAAATTGCATTAATCCATCAAAATTCAGTAAGCAAATTATAAAATATGAATTCTACTAAAAAACATTGCCACTCCATCCTTCCAATACTTTAGTATGGCCCGTAAACTTTTTGAAATTTCAAATTTTTGCATTTCAAGAACCTGATAATCTTCCCAGGGATGCTGACAACATACTAATACGAATATGATACTAACATAGCTAAAATAGAATAAGGGCTATCATATGATGTATAATGCCTAAAACAAAAACCCATGTCCAAGGCCTTTTGTTACTCTACATTATACAATCCTTAGTACTTGTATTATTTTTGTTTCATTTATCCTAACAAAGATTGTCATTCTGGGAGAAAAACTTCATCAACAAAAAATAAAAAGGAATTTCTTCAATCTAATAAACTCTCTCAAAAATGCCACAAGTAACATCACGCTTAAGCAGTGGTATAAACAGATATGAAATCTGTTAAAAATTTTTAAATTAATTAATTTAAAATTTTAAAATTAAAATTAAGATGTTCACTATCACTGCTTAAACTCAATACCATATTGTGGATCCCAGCCACTGCCATTAAAATTTTTAATTTAATTTTTATGCTTAATTTTAAATACTTTTAACAATTATATTTAATCATGTACATTTTTAATTAAGCATATCTAAAAGTAAAAGAAGTAAAAGGAAATGAAACAGTCACTATACACATGTAATGTGATTGTTTTGAAAATGGAATGTATATTTTAGAACCAATAAGACTCCACCAAAGTTACTGCATGTGAGATAGAGAAGAAATGGAAGGGCTCATGCTGGGCACTGTGAACTGAAATCCAAAGCCAGCAGACAAAACAACCCATGAGAATAAAAGGACTGGGAAAAGAACTGAGCCTGGAATAAGGCCCACAGACTCGTGAAGATCTCCTGCTGCACTAGGTCGAGATCTAGCTTCCGTGTGGACCTCAATTCCTGACTCTTTGATTCCCATTCCTCTCTCCCACAACTTTCCATGACCATCTGTCCAAACTAACCTGATAAGATCTGCAATTGGTACTCAAAGAGCTTAACTAAACACCTATAAATTTGAAAAATAAACACACCTTTCAGAACCGGAATAAGTTATTATAATGAGCCCAAATTTCTATTTCAAAGTGAATGATTGATTGTTCAGTTTGAATAGTCCTACCAGCAGGGAGAAGCAGTATTATAATCCATAGCTGCAAATAATCTCTGAACTGTATGTAGCGTTTGGTTTGGAATGCATTGTGGGTCTTGGGTAGGTATGCCTCCTCAATGAGGGTTTTTTTTTTTACTTAAACCAACACTAAAATAAGATTTAATATTGTGAGCACAGTAACTGGAAACTGAGAATGACCTGGCAGTATGTAGAGATTCATTTTGACAATGAATATCATTATGTTGGACAATGTGTGATGAAACAATTGAGCTTCAACAACTTCAAGGAGAAAATCAGACAAAACGATAGCATTGCTGTGTTTTTAAATCATAAATTTAGTGTGAACCTCATATACAGAGGCATATGTAAAAGACCTCAGTTTCTTCAACCTTGGCACAGTCTGCAGCATGACTGGAGGAAGCTCACTACCCTTTGTGCTCTTCATATCCTGTGGCAAAGAGTGATGACAACACTATCACAGTCTTCCTTAAATCTGGGCTCGGCTGCAGAAATCCTACTTTGTTCATAATTCAGAACACACTGTCCAATGCCATAGCAACAAGTCAGATGTACCTACTTAGTACATTGGTGTGAGTGTCAAATATAGTCTGAATTTCACAGACTTTAAAAAATAAAAGGAATATTAAGTCTAATTAATAATTTTTACATTGATTAAATGTTAAAATAATATTTTACTTTAAATGAAATATATTCAAATAGTTTTACCTGTTTTTTTCTTTTCACTTTTTTTACATGTTTACTATAAAATTTTAAATTACATATGTGGTTCACATTTGTGGCTCACACCTACTGGACAGTGCTGACTGAGAACATCAAAAGGTATTTTAAGTGGAATGTGTATACTATATATATATATATATATATATATATTTAAAGCATTTAAAACATTAATGAATATGTTTATAAGACCCTCTGTATGTTGTTTGATAGAAAATTCCTGTAAAGATAAGTATTATCTTGTAATAACCATACAACAGAGGTACCATTTATTCAGTTCCAATTTTTCGACATGAATAACATGAAATGCCATCAAATAAATTATCTGTAATCTTCCCAATAAAGAAGAGTCATTTATATCAGAAAGACTGAGTAATGTGTGCAAAATCAAATGAGCAGAAGTGCTAGATACAGGCTCTAAATGCAGGTCTGTGTAGGGCAAACCCAGCACACTGGTATTCAATAAAGACTTTAAGAGCAGTCCTGTTTGAAAAGGACCACCCCTTCTGAAGTTGGATCCCTTTCAAATTTGGGCAGGGACAATTCAGACCTTTTCCCTATCATTTAGGGTTTTCCAACCCCCACCCTGTGGAGGACAATATAGAGTGAGCAGCTCTGAAAACCAGCACACCTACTCATTGAGCCCAAGTGGGCCCATACCTTGTGAGAAGAATTTGCCATCACAGTATGCCAGAGGCAGCCTAAACAAGGGCAACCAGGGAAGTACAGTCATCTGCCGTCAGTGCAGTCTTTTGGATGAGTTCCCTTGTTTAATCCTTGGCCCAGGATAAGCTTCTGACTCTAGCCCACTCGGAAAATACATTCTAGCAACAGCACTACAGGAGTGGGAAGCCCTGAGACATTTCCATAGGAAGCTACTACAGCAGAAGGGGCAGCAACACTGCCTGCAAGACAGACAAGCATGCTAGCCATGAAGCCGGGACAAGTTGCCAAAAGAAAGAGCTTTCTAAAACCCAAAATATCTTCTGCCACCAAGCTTCGGAGAAACGAGGCATGCAAAACTTGGGCACTCCTTCAACCACCTTCGCCCCCAGCCCCCTCCTAAATGGAGGTCTACAGACACGGATGGAATGTCTACAGACATTCTGCTCAGCATTACAGTTCCCCAGAAAGGCAATTTTCATACCTGCAGGATTTTAAAAAGCCTAAGTGAAGGGCAGCAATGATGGCACTATGGTGGGGGAGAGCAGGAGGGAAGCTAGCCAGAAAAAAAACACAGAAGGCAACAGTGACATTCAGACCTGAACTCGGAATTTTTGAATGGTTCAGAATGGGACACTTTGTCACCTTTGATTTAATTAGAAGACTGTTTTCAGGATGCTGAAGGGCCAGGTTCATAATCAAGCACTTACGTAATCCTCCTCATTGAGCCCTTGTTTCTCGGCAGAACTTTTCACTTCCATGGAAAACTTCTCAAACTCAGGTTTCACGGTCCTCAGTAGAGTGACTGTTTGGAGGGATGAGTATGCTTGCTTAGCTTCAAAGTCATGTTTGTCTCCTCTCTTCCATGAGCCATCTCCTATGGGAGAAATAAAAATATTTATAATTCCAAGCCAGTCACCATAAAGAGGCCATTCTCTCTTTTGAGCTGTAATGTGTCCCTACATGTTACTTCTGGCAGCCAGGGAAAGAGGTATTGTCATAGTTTTGCACTTGGATATTATGTTACAATCTCAAGATCATTAAAGGAGAAGAAGATTCTTTGGACGTGAGTCCTTTTGAAATGTGAGAGAGAAAGAAAAGCTCTGTTGATGTAATTGCCTTATAATTACCATGTAAGTGCAATTTTCACCCCCCTTCCAGAGTTGCAGGACTGCAAGATTAAGAAGTAAGTAAGTTTTCATTCCTTTCCATTATACTTATTTTCTGACATATTCATCAACTGTGGAGGTGAACCAATTTGCTGTTATGTAGACATGGGGAGCAGGTTATAGCAATGCACAACAATGGAGAGCTATGAAGTTGGCATGGTTTAAAGAAAAAAGTTTGAGGTAATTAATATTTGTTGCAACTCTCCAGGGTGAACAGTAGCTTAGGTGAACTTGAGGATTTGTGTCTCTGATCCTGGCAACATCATCAGAATTATTTTTGGACAGTTTTCATTACTGCATCAACAGACAGTAATGATAAAAGTTATATTTTTAAGCACTTTTTATATAAACTCATTTAATTCTCATGAGATCCTATAAGAGGGATACTATTGTTTTTTCTGCTTTACAGATGAGGAAACTGAGGCACTGAGCTATTGGGCAGCTTGCTGTTTCATAGCTCTCTCTGACACAAAAGTAATGGCTTTTCACATGGAGAAGAATTATTCTTCTCTTTATTTCATTTTCTGAGAAAAAAAATGTGGCCTACATGGCCCCAAAAGGCAAAGTAGGCCTCTTTGTTTTGGGGTTTTTTCTATGAATTTTATCATGAGTTCTGGAAGTATGTGAAAATACAGCCAGGAATGCAACTTGCTAAACACACACAAGGCATCTATCCCCCTTGAGCTCCCCAATCACAGCAGATGTGTACAGCCCAATAGCTCTGCAGCAAGGATGTCCCTGGGACATGTGGCCAGGTCTGTGGGCATTTGCTCTGCTCTTGCAGAAGTTCAGTAAAGAACCTGGTACCTCTAGAACTTCTACCACAGCCTGAATCACACAAAGATGTCTAAACTATGTGCATGTTACATCCAAGGTTCTATGATAGCCATGATAAGCATCATATATGTCTTGAGCAATCCTCACCAAATTCAAGAGAGAAATTTCGAGTCAGACATGTATAACTGAAGCTATTATAGGGTAGAACTAACAGCTTACTATAGAGGGAGAGAGCAGAAAAAATGCAGAGTATGGAGGAAAAGGCAATGAGCTCCAACTAGGCAGAAGGTTTCATGTGAGGAAAAGGCATTACCCTGGTCCTAAATGTGTGAACAGAATTTTAATAGGAGGCGAGGAAGGTAGAAAGGCATGCTTGGCAGAGCCCACAGCATGGGCAAAGGTGCAAATGTGTATGACATCCAGCAGGCATCTGGGAGCCTCAGTCTAGAGCATGAGAAAGGTAGAGCCAAAGAACATGTTTGAGGGGACAGATGTATAATCAGAATCCTAATAATAGCAACCTTTTATTAATTACTTACTAAATGCCAGGGAACTATTGAAAGATAAATAAGACAGAGCTGAGGACAGAATTCATTAAGGACTAGACCCATACTCAATGAACACAAGATTAAATTTCAAGCCACCACACCAAACTTGACGAAGTCTTCTTCCTTTCCTGTGAATTCTCCCAAACCCTGAGGAGGACCCAGTCTGAGCAGAGCCCTGCTTATGCTGAGGGAGCTGGGAAAACCAGCAGGGTGCTCAGTTCCCAAGACAAACACAAAGTAGCACTTGCCAAGGAGCCAAATCCATCTAGCCAGGAAGACCCCAAATTCTAAGACTCCACAGAACATTTTCATCCCAAGAAGGACCCCATCTTCTATAGACCTTCAAAAACAGTTACAGATTCATTTTTCATTGATGCAGGGTCTCAATACTCAACAGAAGTGGTATTTCTTCAGCTAAGAAAGTCAGAGTTTCTCAACTCTGGGAAAGAATTCTCACTGGGAGCATAAGAAAGGAAATACTTAACCCCACAGGGCTTTATGCTGTGTAATTATAAAATATACATTGAACTGGAAACAGCAATTATGTTACCAAAAGGAGGAAAACACTTTTCTTAAAAGATATGAATTTAGTCCAACAAATCTGTCTACAATAATCTAAAAGGCAACTATTTTTGGTGTTTGTTTTTCCACTGAGCAGAAACAATAGTGCATAATAAATTTAAGCCACGCTAAACAGGTATCTGTTCACAAGCATGACTTCCGCCTTTCACAGTCACTTCTTGTGTCAGGAACATCTCCCATGTCAGTGCTGCTGAACACTAGGAGAGCAAAGGTCGGCTTGGCGTGACTCCCCGTCGGTGGAGACAAATTTAATTCAGTAGACAACTGGGTGCCTCTGGAGATTTATGAGCAGAACAGAAGAGTGACATGATGAGAATCATGGCCTGGGAAACAGCAGTGGATTAGAGTGCAGAGACACTGAGCATTCACAACCACAGTAATCCAGACGAAAGCTGATAAGAGGTGACAAGTAGGAAGTCACACACCAAAAAAAAAGAGAGAAACTATTATCTGGGTGGTTAGACTTATGAGCAAGTTTTCTTTTCTTTTTCTCTCTTCTTTCTTGTTTTGGGGTTTTTTTTTTGTTTTGGGGGGTTTTTTGCATTTTTCTGAACGTAATGAATTTTCAATCATAAATATTTACTACTTTTAGGGCCGGGGATTTAGCTCAATGGTTCCGCTGCCTGCCTCACAACCACAAGGACCCGAGTTTGATCCCCAGTACCAAAAAAAAAAAAAAATTTATTACTTTTATGATCATGAAAAGAGCAAGAGCCCTTGAGAATGAAAGTAGAAGATTATGCAGGAGGAATCTCAAGACTGTGCAACAGTTAGGGAGGGAGGGACAACAGAGAGGGAAGCGCGTCACAGATGACACCACGGAGAACAAGAACACGCTGGTCACTGGAAGAAACAGCAGCGTCAGGCGGAGGAGGAACAGACGAGGCAGACATAATGAAATAATGGGTCAGTCAGGGTCACGGCAAATCCAAGGTGGCCGCAGGGTGCTCAAGTGACACCACGGGCTGGGGTGGGAGATAGGGACCCGAAACCAGAACGAGGAGTGAGGGCTCCACAGAGTGCTGGGTGTCATTTCCACGCAGCTCATTATTAGAGCCCAGGGACTAACGAAGAGGCTTCGGTAAAGAAGAGAGGAGGACTGAGTACAGACACTTGGGGGAGGCTATTTTCAGTGGGCAGAGGAGTCAGAGGAGACAGAGAGGCGCTAACAGAATCAGAAGAATGTCATGTCGTCAAAACTAGGAGCATTGAGTTTCCAGACAGAGCTGGATGCTCTACAGCCACACTGCTTATGTAGTAACCATTGGCCATATGTGTGACTATCTAAATGAAAATTAATCGAAATTAAAAGTTCAGTTCCTCAGTCACACTTGCCACATTTCAAGTGCTCGATAGCTGGATGTGCCTAGTGGCTACCATGCTGAGCAACATAGAACAGAATGCAGCCATGACCACAGAAAGTTCCATGGGTCACAATGCTTTTAAGGCATGGGGTCATGGTCCCAGGTGTGGCTCATGGATTTAGCAATCAGAAGGTCATTAGTGACCTTGAGAATAGCACTTAAGAAAGAATATGACACTGATACCTACCACTCCACCGAAAGGGCTTTTCTCTCAAGTAAAAGATTAAGAGGAGAAAGAAGCTTGCTAGTGAGAAAATAAGATAGAGATGGTAATTCTTTGCAGTTGCTTCAAGGATAAACTTGCCTCGCTTTGTCTTGCCTTGTTTTGTTTTGTTTTTTGTTTTAAAATATCATGAGGAGCCAAGCTTGCACTGACAATTGGGAGGGTACAGAATATTTGTGAAAGGGAAAGTAGCCTGCTCAGCAACTAATTAGGCCCTGTATTCAGCAATCCTGTGGCCAAAGAGATGGTGCCAGTGAGAGGTAGCCATGATGGCATAATTGTGCCATCCTGTAGCTCCCAGAACTTAAAAGCATCTAGCATACAGTAAACCTTCTATATATGTGACTTGCATGAGTAAGTGGAACATCACTGAATTTGCCCAAGAAATAATACCTAGCTTTTACCTGGGCTGGCTGCATGATACTGTGGCTCTTTGGGCCTACTTTTTGTTTCATGCCTTATCCTACCCACCTCAAATGACTTTAGTGTTATAGATCACAGGGTAGGCTGGCCAGTTATGCCCATCAATAATAACAGCACCACTTACTGAGTGATGCCCTTTGTGCACATCTCTGTATAGCTGCTTTGACTGTAGCATTTCATTCTTTAATTCTCATAACAACTTCATGAAAAAGATTTAAATATGATCCCTATCTTACAGATGAGGAAACTGAGGCTCAAAGAAATTAACAAATCGGAAGTTGTTCAGCTAATAAACAGTACAAGCAGGATGAAAAATGCAACCTAGACTCCAAACACTATTGTCCTGCTCAATCTATATTCATCGTATCAGTTTGAGGCATTTTAAGATTTAAAACTGCATAGGCAATGGATGACAAAAATATTTTTTAAATAGCAGTGGAAAAATATCAAAAGAAGAAATACCAAAATACTCTTTAGCATTGTTACAACTGAGAGATTATGTGAGAATTCCTTTTCTTTTTTGCTTGGTTCCAAATAGACTTTAATGGGAATATATCACTTTTACAGCCAAACATTATAAACCCAATTCCCCCCAATATTTTTACTATGTTTCCATTTGTAGCCAGTCAAATAGTTTAATTTGTCTGCCTCGATAATCACTACTATATTCTAGTATCACCTTAATTAGTCTCCTCTGAGTTTTCTGGAAGGCAAGAAAGCTCTATAATAATTCCAACAGTCTCACACAAGATTGCCCAAAGAACTTTCCACCTACCTTACATTCTGAGACTATAATACCAATAGATGAAAATGCTAACAGATACTAATTACAACTCAACAGGAAAATATATATCATCTTTGTTCTAGATTTTTTTTAAAAATCTGTCTTTAAAATCTTATTTTTGATCACTTAATTCTCTAATAATATATTATTATATTGATCTGTGACTATATAATGTGGGCAAATCTGAGAATTTTTTTAAATGCTCACTAAGACTAAACAATCTTCTAATCAAAAAAAAATCTTCTAATCAACAAAGAGGGAAAAACTACCAACACATCTTCTTAAAATCCAATTTCAAGCAAGCATTGATTAAAATAGAGGCCTTTCTGTAGAGCAGGTATAGGGTTTGTGGTGGGGAGGCACAAGAAGTAGATGTAAAAGAACTTTTCATAAACATGTATTAAATATTAGAACACAAAATCTAAAGAAGCCCCTTCATTAATGATGTTCATTGGAATTTTGGTCTAGGTGACTCTGCCAACAACATGATTCTATTTACTTCTACTCTGAGGAGGAAGGTGCTTCAGGATCAGTGAAAGACATGGACACTTGCCTCCCTACATCCATTCTCCTTTCTTTTTACTAACAGATCCCCAAATTGATTTAGAGTATAAGTAAGTCCAGCTAAAAGTATAATTCTGTGGAATTCTGAACTCTCTTGCAACCTGGGGGAACTAATCCTACGTAACCAGATGTTAATGAATGGTACTTTCCGAAGAGTTCTTCAAAAGAAACCAAGTCAACTGAAGGAATATCTTTTTACCTGTTGTCTCTTCCCTGTTTTGGCTAGAATTAAGACCTGATCCCTGGAGCCCTGGCTGCCATCTTGGATCTTGAGAATGGAAGCCAGGCACTAAGAGTGAGGGAACAGGAAACAGGAGAAGCTTTGCATTGTTGGTGATCTTATAGAACCCTATCTTTGCCCCAGACTTTTCATTTATGGAATTCTTTCAGGGGAGAGAATAGACCTCTACATTTATTTCAATCACTATACTTGGGCAACTTGGTCATATGCATGCAGGTATAATTCCTAATCCACCCAGGTCCATAGGATATATTAACTAAAAGTTGGTTAATTTGGTAACTGAATTCATGACCCTTAATCTATTTATGAAACTATCACCAGAGAAAAAGTGAAAAGTTACAATTTTTAAAGTATCACATGTAATAGTCAAAGTAAATTAAGACTAATAATGAATATGGCTAATATTTATTGAACAGTTATTATGTCCCAAGAAGTTTGCAAGGTGTTTTACATACATCCCCTTATTTATTACTCAGCCTGATGCCATAAGGTAAGTACTATTACTATCATTAGAAGAAACAAAAGCTTACAAATGGCAGAGTTAAGTCATTTTGATAAGGCTATGGGTTAAGCTATTAATCTTTAGCTCTTAGAGTTAAGAATTAGTACATGGCTCAGACTCTTAGGCAGACTGACACCAGACCCCAGAGCCTAAACAAATACAGTGTAAAGGGTAAAATGAGAAGAATTCAATCAGAAACTCTAAGTACTCTTCACAAGTTGTGTAAGAGCACTCTGTATAATTCTGTGCAAACTTTTAAGAGGTAGAAAAACTGAACTCAAGGGAAAGTAAGTTTTAAGAAATTGTCCAAATATCACCAACAATAAGTCATATAAGTATCCCTCTTGTGCAGTTGTATTATACACTAAGAAAAATGCATCTTTTTTTAGTATTCTTGCCCAAAAAATAGATAAAATCATCCTATAGTGGGAAATATCGGATAAATCCAAACTGAAAGTCATTCTACACAATGAGCTCTTCAAAAGTGTCAACTTTCACATACTGGAGGTGACACAACAACTCAATCAGTGTGGGATCCTGTGATTGACCCCAGAACAGAGCAAGAACATTAGAGGGATGGATAGGTGATAAATTTGAAATAAGGCCTTTAGTTTGGTTATTAGTTAGTAGTATTATAGCAATGTTAACTTTCTTGTTTTGGTAATTTTATTATGGTTATTTAACTTGTTAACATTGGAGGATCTTGGTAAAACATATACATGAGCTCTGTATTACTTTTGCAAGTTTTCTGTAGTTATTCCAAAAAGTTGCCCCACAGTTATCTCTAAAAGAAGTGAATTCCAAATACAGAATTGATTTCCATAGTTCAAGGGATGTTCTCATAGTATATTAATTGTTCAAAAGCATGGAAAACAATGGAAAGTGTCTCAATTAATTCTATGTGGCAAATGTAAACCTGACATTCAAACTAGGCAGTATCACCTCAAGGTAAGAAAACTATTGTCCAAAGTGAAACTCTTGCAAAAAAAAGAAACCCAGAGATTTTCTATATAGTTACAAAATGTAACAGGAAAAGATCATGATCCTAAGAACAACCAAAACCATGAAATACCTTTGTAAGAATAAACTCAATATAAATGGTACAGAATGTAAATGTTTCAAAATAACTAAGGTAAATTTTAAATGTATCACCACAAAAAATGTCAAGTAAATGAGATGATGGATATATCAATTCACTTGATTCCATCACCCTACATCGTAAACATATATTAAAACATCATACTCCTCCCAATAAGTATACTATAGTTATGATGTGTAAATTAAGAATAGTATTAATTTTAAAGGTGTATAGTATTATGAATATGCTAACAGCTACAGAATTCATTTTAAAGTCATTTATTTTATATTAATAAAATGCAGAAGTTAACTTTAAAATACATACGTTAAGAAAAGCAAAGTGCAAAACTTTGTTGATGAACATAAAAAGAAATTCAGATAAATAAAATAATTTGAAAAATCATGCAGGTTTGACAAGGATATAGGAAACAAGAAAATCTCATATATTGTTGCAAAAGTATAAATTGGTGAACCTCTTTATTAGGGATCTTAGCAATGTCTGTCAAAACTTAAACGTACAGCCGGGGATGCAGCTCAGTGGTGCCACAACTGCCTGGCAAGCACAAGGTCCTGAGTTCAATCCCCAGTACAAAAAAACACTTAAATGTACATAACACTTGAGCCATAAATTTTAATTCTAAACATTTCTCTCATAGATACCATGTATGTAGAAAATATGTGAGTGAATATGATGTGTGCACATACATGACTACTCAAGGCAGCACTGTTCTTAAAAGCAAAAAGGCTGAGAACAACATATGTATTGAAAAATAAGAGACTCAGTAAAAATGGCATGTAAACATTAAAAATACTATATAGTTATACTAAAGAGTATGATAATTTTATTTTAAAATATTTTATAAGATATATTTACAAGGGCTGGGGATTTAGCTCAGTGGTTCCAGCACCTACCTCGCAAGCACAAGGTCCTGAGTTCGATCCCAGGTACCAAAAAGAAAAAAGACATATTTTAAAAAGACAGGATGACATACTTCTAAAATTATTAATGTGCTCTTATCTGAGTGATATAATAATAATTTATTTTCTTTCCTGTTCTTTCTCTGTTTTCCAAAATTTCTACAATACTTACTTACTGTAATCAACAGGAAAACTTAATCCAAGCTGTATCTGTGGATGGAAGGAATTCTAATACCTATCATTTGCATTAGGTACTGGATCCATAAGGCACGTGAATACACATTATAAATGCATTTGCCAACACATCACTTGTATAAACGGAGGGAGAAAGATTTTTGCCACAAATAGGAGAGCAAAATAGGGCATTTATCCTGCAAAGCCTCACGTATCCAGTTTTATCCACTGCAGGAAGCAGGCTCTACTTTTGTTTTATCAACTTTTCTTTATCTCCATGGGAAGTGCATTATATCATTTGTAATACACAATAATGCTGCGTAAGCAAGCCAGGGTATCAGGGTAGAAAACTAGGGTGTATGTTTGAAGGTTTAGATCCTGTGTAACTACATACAGACAGCAGGAACTCGGAAGTGGAGCTCAGTATAAACATGTCATTTGTGATCTGCACACTAAAATTCCCCTAGAGCCACTCAACTGAGTAGCTAGCCTGCAGGCTTGAGGAAATGTTCTGCAGCCCTCGTAATGAACTGTAGAGAAGCCCTAACCACAGTTAGAAGGAAATGTTTTGTACTTGTGATCATGATGGCCTCCTTTAACACCCTCCAACACAGGGACCCTCGGAACTTCCCCAGATCCATCACATGGATTCAACACCATGGCTCCCAAAATTCTACACAGGAGAGCCTTAAAGCATATTGATTGCAAAGGACGAGGGGACTATGAGCAGTGGCTTTCAAATATCTTTACCTCAATTTACAGTAATAGCTATTTTATTTTACACTATGACCCATATAGACATATGTAATGTGCATAAATATACACACACATCTCTATATTGCTAACATGAAAGTTGTATGAAGCAATACATGTGCTAAGTTTGACATACTCTGAAATGTTCTAGCCTGTTGTGGTATAATCTGTTCCATTCTACTTCAAATTCCACCCACATCTCACTTAAATTATTTTGACTGTCCATCTCAGTGGTAGCAACCTGCAGCTGGAAAAGCACTAGACAAGGGGTCTTCAGGGCCTGCATTTTGACCATTTGGAGTATGGGACTGGGCTATGTTGATCTTGACAAGTAGCTTTACACCACAGGTACATAGTTTTGCTCTCATTGAGTTCTCAGAGAAGAAAAGTTGAAGGAATTATGAGATGTTGTCATAATACAGAACAGAGCATTTATATAGTCTTGCTCAGAATCACAAATTTCCAAAATCGTATTTATGGAAATCACATCTTTGGGCCTAATTCAAATTTTTTAATCTTCCTCATAACCCCTTTTTGACACAGCTCTGATTTGGGTCTTGAATGCCCCTCATAGGCCCATGTGTTGAAGGCTTTGTGATGGTCACAGTGCTATTGGAAAAGGGTGGAAGCTTTAGGAACTAAGGCCTACTTGGAGGAAGTTAGGTCACTGGAAGTGTGCCCTTGAAGGGTTATGGGGATCCCAGCCCCTTACTGAATCTCTTTGCCTCCCAGCTACCATGAAGTAAACAGGTCTCCTCCACCATGCCCTCCTGCCATGAAGTACTTTCCTATCACAGGCCCAAAGCAACAGAGCCAAGCAACCATGAACTGAAATCTCTGAAACTATGAGCCAAAATAAACCTTTCCTCCTTGTAAGTTTTCATCTCACAGCAACAGAAAGCTGATGCAGACACCTTGGCAGTGGGAGGGAAAGCTGCAAGCAGAGTTACCATAGGAAGAGCTGTTGAAGAGTTCGATGTTGAAGAAGGCATAGTCTCCACTGGTCATGCCATGTCTGTGTGCTGCCAGCATGATGCTCCGGATGGTGTCCCCACTGGCACACATGATCACCACTGGGGAGAGAGAAAGAGCACACATGAGACATCCCACCACAGCAGACAGCAAGCACACCAGAGCCAGGGGGAGACAATGGACAAAGAACTGGACATTTATAAGGCCTGGGAGTGTTGCCTCACAAGCTACCTATTAGAGTAAACCCCCTCCCTTATCTGCATGGCACACTCCCTACCCCCAGTGGATGCCTAAAACTGTGGATAGCACCAAACCCTCCATGTACCATGTTTTTTCCTATACATACATATCTTAATGTTTAGCCTATAATTTAGGTAGACTAAGAGATTGATAATATTTAATAATAAAAATAACAATTACAACAATGTACTATAACAACAGTGTTTTAAAATTAGTGAATTGCTTACTTCTCAAATTTTCCATTGAATTTTTTCAAAACACAGTTGATCACAGAAACCTCAGAAAGTGAAACCATAGGTAAAAGAGACGATCGTAACTTTACTGTAGAGAAACCCAGCAGTCACCACCACAACCAAGTGCAGGAACTAACACCACCAGTGTGGGAAACAGACTCACCAGATTCCTGATGGAAAACACCGAGGACCAGAAACCTCCAACAGGCAACACACATCTAGTCTACAGAAAGCAGCCACAAACTCAGCTTGGGAAACAGTAGAATAATTGACCTATGCTTCCCCCTTCCCTTTTTTTGTGGCTCTCTCTACCACTGAACCACATTCCCAGCCTGACTTTACTTTTTGAGACAGAGTCTCCTTAATTGCCTGGGTTTGCCTCAAACTTGTGATACCCCTACTTCAGCCTCCCAAGTTGCTGAGATCACTGACATGTGCTGCCATTCTGGCTGGCCTATGCACTTTACAATGTCATTTTCCCATAATGTTAAGTGAAATAAATCAAGCACACAAGCTTAAATATTGCATGGTTTCTCTTACAAGAGAAACCCAAAGTTATAAATAAACAGTAAAATAGAAGACAGCAGCTAATAGGTAACGGAGATAGAGCTTTTGTGAAAGAGAAGGTGACCAAGAGACTTTCTGTGTGTATATGTATATATGTGTTAGTATGTATACACATATCAATAGATATAAAAGGAATAGACAGATATAGATAGATAGATAGATAGATAGATAGATAGATAGATAGATAGATACAGATAGATTAAAAGAGAGGGGAAAGGGGAAAGATTTAGAATGTTAGGGCAAATATGGCAAAAATCTGGTTAAGGCTATACAGAGGTTCATTATATCTTCTTATTTCTATTCCAAAAATGTGAAAATTATTTCAAAATAGTTTTAAAAACTTAAACAAATCTCTAGATTTTTTCCCAATATAAGACAGTGAAGGCTGTCAACTGTTTTTTCATACTTAATAGGATGCTTTTCTGAAAAAGCAAACTCAGTGGCTTTAGAGACAACCTCCTCTGGCAAATCAGTGAACGTCATAGGCTCCCTCTGTCACAGGCAAATCAATGAGTGTCTACATTATGCTGGAGCTGTCCCCACACACAGGAGAAGTAGATAGCAAAATCCCAGGTCCTCTGCCCCGTGTTCTCTCAGGTGATGTTCACACTGTCATATTTAAGAGATTTTAAGCAGCTCCAGGAGACTGTCACTTGCCACCTAAGAATGACACAGGATGGAGTGAAGTGGGGACGTGGACACTGTCCAGTCACTGCTGATGGTTTGAGGGCTCTTTGCTGTACAGCAGGACCAGTGTGTTTTCTGCCTATGCACTGTGCAGAGAAGAGACCCTCAGAGACCTGGGTGCTGCAAACCGTATTATCACCATCGTGCCAGCACTCCAAAATGTGTATGTTCTTTGTAGAAGCATGGGTGCTGAAAGACATAAAACAACCGGCAGGCTGTGCCCGCGCGTCTTTGGCAACCTGCATGGAGGGCTTGGCTCTTGTTGATATTCCATTTATGGCACACAGTAACTGGGAGTGTTAGGTCACAACTCTGACATTTTGTACTACAAAAGGGCTTGGTGTGCAAGGTAAAGGCCCCAAAGGACAAGTTTTTTGAACAATACGAAACTCCTCAAAGGCCTGTGAATGCTGGAGTCAGTGTGGTTTGTGTTTTGAAAGTACAGTTATATATTGGGGATAAATAATCAAATTTCAAGATGCCTTAATAAAGAAGCTCTCATAGAAACTCTTAATAATTTATTATGGCCTAGACCCCTGTGTTAGTTGTAATTAAATTCTAGCTCCTTCAATTTAAAAAAAGCCAAGGTGTCCCACAAAATAGCCAATAAGAGGCTAAGGCCAAACATGTTTGAAAAGTATGGATTCCAAGTGTGGTCATCTCCAGGAGGATCCAGGGAGCTCTAGCTGCCTGTCCATCAAACTGCCTATATCATTTTTTGATCAGCTGCTCATAGTCCAGAGTCCAGTTCTCAGGCCTCACATGTATGACTTGATTCTTGCCAGCACACAGGGAACAAAGTCACTGCTTAGGGGAAGATTCTCAATAATCCACATCAAGTATTTCAAGTATTTGCAGATAATCTGGACTTCAGATTGCTTGAGTTCCATGGGGTCTATAATAATAAATACATTTGTGTCAACATGCCCTGTGCCCTGGGTATGATACCTAGGGGACCAAATTACAAGCAATAGAATGCTAGTGAAGATGAAATCAAAATTAGGGAGGTCCATTGGAGAATTCAGGTTTCAAAGGCACCAGGCATTGATAACCCAAAGCATCTATTGGAGAGATGCACCTGGCCCAGGACTGAACAGACTATCTCTGAGCCAGAGCACAACCTTTGCTAGGTCCCAGACAGGCTCTGCTCAAAACTGGCTTCTGTGGTGCTTCTCTTCTTTTTACATTCCCGGCTTCTCCTTCTCCTTCTCCTTCTCCTTCTCCTTCTCCTTCTCCTTCTCCTTCTCCTTCTCCTTCTCCTTCTCCTTCTCCTTCTCCTTCTCCTTCTCCT